AAGTTCACATCACTTCTTTTAGTAATTTGAAGAACAGGGACAAATCCACCATTTCTTTTTTGTTTCAAGTTCTTTGGAGGCAGAGAGGGGAGTGTTTGGAATATAAATACCCTTTCCTATATCTCCGGAGAACAAATGAGTGCCATAAAGACTTGAAATAGCATTGTTTGTATTATTATTTTTTTTAATAAAAAAAAAGATTTTCTTTATTTGACAGAGTGCAAGGGAGTATAAGCAGGGGGAGTGGCAGAGGGAGAGGGAGAAGCAGGCTCCCTGTTCTACAGGGAGCCTGACTCGGGGCTCGATCCCAGGACCCCGGAATCATGATCTGAGCCTAAGGCAGATGCTTAACTGATCGGGCCACCCAGGTGCCCCTGCACTGTTTGTATTATTCTAATTCCACTACAACTTTTCTAATTACCAACTGTCTGGAATTTCCACAGAAGATGGTAGGAGTAAGAAGAGAACCAGCTCTCGTCCCACCACTTAGTCCTTGTGGAAGTTTATCCAAGAAATTTAATATTTTGTGGTCTCAGGTGGTTCATCTACATAATAAAGATATATATATATATATATCTTTATATACAGTTCTGTGTATATATATATATATATATATATATATATATATATATATATATATACACAGAACTGTGTTGAGGATTAGATATGATGTATACAAAGCAACTGTGCCCAGCATATTATAGTCAACTGATAAGTGGTAGCCATTTTTGTAGTTATTCTATTTTCACATATTTCTGCAAAGTCATATGAGTCAGGGATAGAAGAGGCATGTATGCAAGTGGAAAGTCACAGAACTAGAGAGTGAGTGAGACAGAACGCATGCTTGGAGTTATAATGTTCTAGTGCTGACAATTTCAGGCAGGTGGGCATTTTAACAATGCTCTTCGATGATGAAAATGTAAGACTTAAGAAAAACATATTGAAATTATTTTTGAAAACGGCTATCTTATAGTTGTATCATTAAAAAAAAACAGGAAGAAAAAAGGAAGGATAAAGTGTACCACGTATTCTCCTAATTGCTCTGAGAAATATGTTCTTCCTCACAGGAGTAGAACACAATGTGCTAGTTGTAGAATTCTAAATACTACAGTCATATTGAGGGCCGCCTGACTGGCTCAGTCGGTAGCATGTGACTCTTGATCTCAGGGTTGTAAGTTCAAGCCCCACACTGGGTGTAGAGATCACTTAAAAATAAAATCTTAAGAAAAATACTATAGTCCTATTGAAAATTCAACAATTATTATAGATGACTGAATGAGAGCCATAGTTGTTAAGTCCCCCCTTTTCTCAAGGTAGCCTGTATCACCCATAGCACAGTGCTCACTGTGAAACAGAGATCTCTGAGAGGGAACAGCAGTGGGAGCTTAAGTGCTGTGGGTGTGAGGTAGGTAACATTATCCAAATGTTATAGGTGAGGAACATGAATCTCAGAGAAATAATGTGTTTAACTGGTAAAAGAGACAGCTAGAGGTACAACCTAGGTCTGATTAGCTGCCAGGCTGTTAACTAGGAAGAGAGACATTCATTTTCCATGAATACAATATTTGACACACAGTAGATACTCAAAGAATCTGAAATGAATGGGCAAATAAATCATGTAATGCAGGGATGATTTGCTTAGGCTGTCAGCAGGAAAAGATGGGAAGGCTCCCTTCTACAGAATGGTTTTGCCAAATGTTTAGAACAACTAGTATTTTAAGCACTATACTGTGAGCTTCTTTTTTAAGGCAAGTACTGTCTCTTTCTATCCCTCATGCCTAGACCATGCTGGAACAAAGGAATATATTGTCTGACATTTCATCCTAATGCAGAGGATTCTATAATCATAGCTGTAAATAAGATTGTCTAGATTTGAACCAAATCAGTTTAAGTTTGTAGCCTTTCCTCTTCTAATGTTATAGTTGACCTTTAAAAAACAGGAAAAAACCCAAACCAAACCAAACCATGCAGCTTGTCTTGAAAAGCCCAATCTGCCCATGACACATTCTGTATAGAGCACACAGGGGCAGAGCCAGACTTCACAGTAACAGCAAATACAATACGAGGTTGTAAAATTCCCGAGGCGAAAAGAAGAAAATAATGCTGAGAGAAAGGCCATCTTGTGACAGCTGCTGTGGCTAAACAGACTGTGTTCAAGCTTTCCAGGGTTCCATGTGAGTTTACATTAAATCCAGCGTGGGTGCTTGACAATCACAGCGGGGGCTTCTTCATGACTTATAATCCGAACACACTGGTTGGCACCCACCACAGCACATCTGGAGTTTGTTAGACAACTTTTATTTTTTAGTTTTTTCATTGGCTCCAGCCTCTTCCTCTGATGCAGCCTCTCCAACTGCTGCTTTGCCATGAATGAGTCAAGGAGACAAGCTGCCCTGGGGTGGGTATGCAAATTGGGCCCATTTAAGCGGGTGACCCCCAAATCTGTAAACCCCTTGTTGCTTCACCTCTTTCGAACACTAGGAACTGCACACGAATGCCAAGAGCCCATCAGGCAGTGGCAGCTCCACTTACTGGAAAGCCTCGTCAACGCTGACTGCCTCCTTGGTAGGAAATAGCCTTTAGACTGAGGCACATTCCAGCAATTCAAGGACTAGAAGCTTTAAATTAAAACAATATTGATGTCATATCCTCTTTCCAAAAGGCCTCTCTCTTGTCTAAAAGTTAGTACACACACTTAGAAAAAATTAAAGAATCAAATATCTTTGGCAAGACCAGTTCCTTCTTGCTCACAGCATCCGAGACACTCTGAGAGGGCAGGAATGTGAAACTTTACATGGAAAGCAGACAAAAAACACCGTTGGAAGGACTCCCAAGAACTACATTTATCTTTCTCCTTACATAGATCACATCACTACAGAATATTCAGGGCACATAGTGGGATGGAAAGACATTAAGCTGCTCTTTTTTAAGATTATGAGTTCATAGATTAATAAATATCCTTACTTTCACCTACTGAAAACATATAGCCTTGAGAACGAAGTAATCAAAAGCCACTATGAATGAGATACAGTACTCTAGTCTGCTAGACATTTTATTCTGTTTGGTGCCTGAAAGTAGAGGGACCAGGAACCACTTAAATCTTACGTCTATATATTTAGGCCTAACTACTTAGGAGAACTGATATTGCTAAATATACACACCCACAAACTAGTGAACGCTTCTTCAACAGTACCCTCCTTTTTCATGTATCAGCACCTCCCCCACAGCAGTTATACAACTGACAAATATAAACTGTATATATTTAAGGCATACAATGTGATGTTTTAATATATGTATACATCATGAAATCACTATCACAATAAAGCTAATTGACATTTCTATTACTTCACAGTTACCTTTTTTAAGAACACTTAAAATCTACTCTTCGCAAATCTCAAATATACAATAGGATATTAACTATAGTCACCATGATGTATATTAGATCCCCAGAACTTATTCATCTTGCATAACTGAAACTTCGTACTCTTTGACCAACACCTCCCCATCTTCCCCACCTTCCTAGGCCACTGCAACCACTATTCAACTCATATTATCAGCTTCGATAAGCCAAATTTCAGTTTTGAACTACTGGGCAGATGTCTTTAATATTAAGCACATTCTTCCTGTTTTACTTAACAGGTATCCAAATACTAGATGATGTCTTCTTCCCGTGGCAAAATATTTTAGGACACTGGAAAAGATTTTTCTGCTTATAAATGAGCAAAGGATTATTTTTTTACTGGTCATCGACCTATCCTATAGAAAAGGGACATCTTTTGGTATTTATGTGGTTGGCCACATAAATAAACATAAAATCTATTTCTAAGCAGTTTTAATATTGGTCTACAAACAGAAATATCTTTATTGCTTAAATATTGATTCTTGTTAATTGGAACATTAAATATTATGTTAAAAATGCTATCAATTGATGACTGATCCCCTAGAGTAGAAAAGAAGAAATTCCTTCACTTGAAAAACTCTTTCCCAGTCTTATTACTTCAGGTAGAAGAGCAAATCCAGGCAGACATAATGCACAGAAAATGTTACTGAGACTGCAGATGATACCAGAAGACAGGACTTGTGGACACTGCACATAGTATAGGAATGGTCAGTGAAGAGCATTAAGATAAAGAAGGGGACTTAGATTTTAAAATTCAGCTTTCTCTTCATTCTCAAAGATTTTTCCCCCAAGCTTTAAAATTGTCATAAGACATATATAACATAAAATTTATCATTTTAATCATTTTTAAATGTCCATTAAGTACATTTACACTGTTGTCCAACCATTAACAAAAGGGAAATGTTTAGCTTTTATTTTCACAGGTCTTACATAAATATTAAGCATTAAATTTGGGGAGGGATTAGGTTGGAATAAGAAAAGGGCAAAACTTTGCTCTTACCTTCAAAGCTTACTCAGCTCTGAGTAGCTAGAAATTGTTTAAGTAAAAATATACTTAGTGCCTTCTATAGTAGGACTTTGGTTGGATGTAAAAAATAAGCCTTTTTCATTTTAAGCGGGCAGAATTTTGCTAATTTCATTCAGCTATGTTAAAAAACCCTCACAGGGGTCTTGTAACATCTTCTAAACCAGTGCTTTTACCAAGAACATTCTAATTCCTAGATATAGCCAGAAGATTTGTGAAGAAGATTAAAGTCCCTGCTAATGAAAGCTAACTAGAGGCGCGCCTGGGTGGCTAAGTTGGCTAAGCAACGGAACTCTTTGATTTTGGCTCAGGTTGTGATTGCAGGGTTGTGAGACTGAGCCCTGCAAAGGCCTCTGTGCTGGGTGTGGAGCCTGCTTAGGATTCTGTCTGTCCCTTCCCTCCCCTCTCTCCCTCTGGGGGAAAAAAACAAACAACCTAGCTAGATAAAAAGATCAGACGTCTAATATGAGACGCGAGACCTTAAAATATAAGCTGGCAAAGACAAAGGTAGAGAATGGCGTGAGAGCTGGTCTTACTGCCCCTCCACCATGGGCCCTCCCTGGCATTTCATTATACCTGCTGCTTGAGCTGCTGCACCAGACGATCCTTCTCCCGCTTCAGTGCAGCCACTTCCTCTTGGGTCTTTTTCTTAGAGGATGAAAGCTCCAAAAGAGCTATGTTGGCATCTTTTTCACTAATGGCAGCCAGAAGAGCTTCTTGCCTACAAAATAAAGAAAATTCCAGGACTTTCATTTATCCTCAAAACAATCCTTTGAAGTTACTATTATCACCCCCATTTTAAGGGTGATGAAACCAAGGCTCAGAGAGTTTATATAGCTTGCCCAAGCTCACATTTGAAGTAAATGGTGCAGATGGAATCCCACTCCGGTTTCTCTGACTCTAAATGTCTTTATCATGTGTTATACTGACATCTTAATAAAGAGTTCCTATTTATAGTTAGACTCAAAAAGTAAACAAAATTAATGACTTTTTAAAACTAAGAATAAAACTATCACCCACACATTTTACCCATTTAATTCATTCTTTTGATAAGCATTCTGTACCTGCCAGGCAAATTGAGGCATTACTGAAACTGAAAACATTCTTATGTATAGAGTGTGTAACAAATTGTAAACATTAGGAAATAGGATTTAGAAAATCAGCCATCTGTTCTCGGGGCATTCTAAACATCTACAATTCTCTTTCTCTCATCAATGCAAATAAGTTTCCAGTCGTGGCTTTATTTGGCAATGATTTGTGCACTTTGAAACAATAACTTGAACCTTACAGATTCCTTGTGGTTTAGCTAACTACTTTTTGGTTCACATCCAGAGGAAAAGGTGGGATTTAGAAGAGGGGTGAACATGAGAAATTTACAAAATAATCTGAATGAAGTTGGTGAACAATTAGTCTCCTCGGCAAAAATGCATTCCTCAATAGCTCATCTATTATTTAAGTCATGTGTAAGAACGCAGATTTGATTTACAGGAACTATTTAAGTGGCCTGAGCTTTTGACCTGAGGAAATGCTGAATCTGAGAATGAACTGCCCAAGTTTAACCTTGCTTCTGTCTTTTGTTAAGATAATTATGCTTCAATAGCAGTCATCTGGAAGAGTTTTAGTTTAGCCACAAACTGGAAGACTATCTTTTGCATATTCTGACAAGGATTTTCTGTTTTCTGGATGGGTAGTTCTGGAGAACTCCGTACAAGCAGTACTAACAAATGGAGGAGAGAGATAAGCTTACATCATGGAAATGAGGATTTGTTTAACCAGTCTTTGTTGTTGGAAGGGAAGAAGATTCTCATTGACCCCAGTGTAATTTTCCACTGTCCCCACACTCTATATAATTCTAAAAAACGGCAGACGGCTTATCCCATGAAGCTTTAGTCAACAGCAAAGGGATAGCAATAGTCTAAATATATCTAATGACCACTTGAAAAAAAATATGTTAAGTGGTGAAATGAGCTTAAAGGTGAAGGAGTTCAAGTTGGTCTCGCTATGCACAATTTCCTGCTCATTGCCGTCATCTGTTCCCTTTGGGGAAGCTCAAAGACTGACAAAGCTGGAATGAGAAATGTGTTTTCTCAATAAGGGTGCTGCAGTATTTCTGTGCACCAATAGTCAGAATTACACATTTAGCAGCAGGCAAATAACAGAAGATGAATGAAAGATAAATTACTCTATCCAATCAGATGAAGTAAAGAGCACCTTTGCAAAATGGAAGATACAAAGGTGATGGGATCTGAGTTCCACTCTGTGCTTAAGGAAAGCATCATAATGTGAAATAGTAAAAATTATTCTGTGTTGGTGAAGCATCTTGACTGAATTCCAAATTCTTTTATAAATGGTATGGCTGGCCAGCTAGTGTGGTACAGTTAATCTCTGGGGTAAAATGTCACATTCCCAAACTGCAATATGATATAACAGGTGACAATTCAGATTCTAAATTTTAAAATAAAGGATGTAGTATTAGACTCTGAGCCACTGGAATAATGCCTTTTTTACTAAGATATATAATTTCAAGTCTTTTGTTCTTTTTATATAAAATCCAAATAGAAATTTTATTATGTCATTTATGTTATTTTTTATTGAGCATTGATAATATACTACAAACTGCACAGAATCAAACTTTCCCATACCCATCACTCTCAACCTCTAAAAATTCCCTAACAGCTTAACATACCACTGTCTTTTCCATTTTAAAAGTATACTCTTAATAGTGATTTCTACATGTGTATGTGCCTAACAAGGTCAACTGATAGTCAAGAGAATAAAAGGTGTTGATTACATACTGCACATATAAACATACAAACTTTGGTTAATGTCATTATTTTTTATGGATATATTAGCTTTTATGTTTTTCTTTTGTTTTTGGAAAGAGAGTATTGTTCTCTTATCTATAATTTTGGTAAATTTGAAATACACAACTACAGGGGAGAGCAATCTTTTAAAATTTGGAAGATAGGCAAGAATATTAAAGCTAATAAATAGTAACGGCCATCTAATTTTTGGGAATAAGAAAAATTGCTGTTCCCTCAATACATCTGATAGAAAAGACCATATGGTATGGTTGAACTTATGTGGTTAAGTTTTACAGAGAGCACTCAAAAGTGTTGAAACTAAAAAATTTTAAAGAACGCCCTGCTTTTCAGAGGGAATGGAATTCAGAGTGGAAAAAAAAAAGCAAATTACAAAAAAAATCTTATTTTAGTAGCCACTTGACTCTTAATATAATTGGTTCTTTGAAAAAAGAAAGGTATTTTCTGATAAAAGTAATATGCACTCTTGGAATAAAAACTGGAAGATCCAGAAAACTAAAAAGAAGAAAATAAAAATACCAGAAATAGTTCCTTTTTAATCAGAATCAATTGCTTGAGACGTGGAAGTCAGCTATTATAAGTCTAACATGGCTATTTTAAAGAAAATGAACCTTGATGGGGATTAATAATTGACTTTAAGAGCTTTACTAACTAAAGACTATCTACAGAAAAGGAAGACTTGCTAGTGAAGCACATTCTGACTTCATTTCCCATGAGCCCCTAGGGAGTAATACAAGCACGTATAATGTGAAAGGTAATATATGTATGCCACAAGCCCAGAGCAAAATAAGAACTGCAATGCTCGTCCTGCTAAATTACTCTCCTTGTTCTGTTAATGTCTTTTCCTCATTTAAAAAAAAAAAAAGAAAATGTATACACAGACCTTTCAAAGTGATTAGTGGCCCCCTACTGCTTGACTAACATGCCATATTACTTGCATAATGAGTAGGTAGTAGCAGAAATCCAACTTTAAGTCATTAAAGAGGTCTTTTCAATCCATCCCTGGTGCTTTAAAGTACATAACAGTTGAACCTGCCCTTTGACCTGAAAATTCTAATAGAATCAAGATGTCTCTAAAAGTACTCTACTGTGTCATTTGAGCTTTAAGAAACAGTAAGACCCCCTCCTCGGTCCCCTTCTCCCTTCTGAGAACATTTAGAAATAGGATGCAAATATCCAAGGCAAATGGAGCTCAAAATCTTTTTCATAATGCCTGAATCTTTGATAACAATACAATATTAGCCTGCTATCACTAGTAAAAAAGAAATATAATCAGTGTTGGAATGATGGTGGTAAACAATTTAAGAGTGAGTGTTTTTAACAGAAATGACAGACAGAAAAGGGGTATGAATGAAGGGATGCCACCAAGGTTTATTTTTCCCTCTTCCTCCAACTGGGTATTTAAAATTGAACGATTACACAATCATGTTTCATAAATTCCATAATCCTGAAAACATCAGGAGAGAGATCAGAGGAAAGTAAGAATAAGGTCAGTTGCTTTAGATCTATTACTATCATGACATGTAAGCATAGTTTAATCTACTTCAATTTTAAAATAAACCTGAAATCTAGATTCTCTTATTGATGCCTCCTTGATTCTGATGCCTCCTTTACTTATTATTTAACCATTTAACTATCCAGAGTGAGTAGTAAACTACTGGGATATCTGTCCCACTCTTCCATCTCATTTCCTGAAAAAATCCTTTTGATTATTATTTTCTCTAACTTCACTTACAGAGGGGACTCAGAGAGTAAGGTGGACACTCTACCTTAACTAAGCTCAGTGAAAACCAGCCTGTGGGTGAGCCTACTTGGGCAATCCTGACTGAAATGTCCGATCTTTCAAGCTTTGGCCACCGACTGTCTTATTATCTCTGTTCTAGGTACCCCAAAATATCTTTAACATAGAATGTCAACACTAAATAGAACTTTTCATCTACCATAATAAATCTTTTTCCATGTTAATTAAAGCACTATATTCCTAGATCCACAGGCTGACAACATCTAAGTAATTTGACTTCTTTGCTCTCCCTAACCAATGTTCACATTTTGTTTGTTCTTCCTAATAGTTTTTAATGAGCCCGTGGCTTTGTATCTGCAAGTTCACTATCATAGTCACTACCATCCTTTTATCATGGGTCTACATTTTTTTAAAGATTTTATTTATTTGACAGAGAGAGAGGAGAGAGAGAGAGAGCACAAGCAGGGGGAGTGGCAGGCAGAGGGAGAGGGAGAAGCAGACTCCCTACTGAGCAAGGAGCCCCATGCAGGGCTCAATCCCAGGACCCTGGGATCATGACCAGAGCCGAAGGCAGGCACTTAACCAACTGAGCCACCCAGACACCCTGGGTCTATATAATTCTTAAGCCCATTCTGATTTCACCATCCTTCTACAATGTCCTACTCTCCCAATTCACTTTCATCTGGTTTCTTACCACATTAAGTGCTTTGGCTTAATATTTGACCAGCTATAATTTTCAACCGACTTCTTCTTCATTGTCCTCCAAGGACCCTGTATCACTGAGTTACTACTTGTTTTCACTTAGGTTTATGCTATGCTCTCTACCTGAAATCTGTAGCTTTCTCTCCTTTAAAACCTGACTCCTCACCGGACTGCTAATTTTTGTCTATTCAGCATTTCCTTTCAGTACGTTCACAGTTTAAGTGATATTAACAGGCATGTGCTCTGTAAATGTCCTTCTATTCTTCTACACATGCAAGGGTCTGCTTCCTCAACTATATTATGTTTATGGTTTATGTCTTTACAATTTTCTTTTAATGTTTCTATGAGTTTATTGGTTTTTCAATTTATTAGCTCGCTAATTTAAAAATATTTTTAAACTTTTTATTTTTAATTGTGGTAAAATACATATAACATAAAGTTGATCACTTTAACCAT